GGATTCACAAAATTCCTTTGGTAAATTATATTTTATAACTTTTATCTATGGGTTCTGGACGTTGTGACACGAATGTGGTGCTTAATATTAGCCTTTGCTTGGAACCTAGAAATGGACACAAATGGGTAGCAACGCATATAATAATGTATTATTAATGTATATAAACTGATTTACATTCAATCGTTTCTGTTTGTACTGTAATTGCTAAACAGGCGGAAAGTCCAAATTCAATGACAGTCTTTGACGTCTGGTTATTCCAGTCTACACCGGTAATATTCTCCTGTGGTATATGTTTAGCCTTGTTCATCGAATCTCTTCATGACAAATGGCACTCGAAATTACTGTGACACGCGATTCGTGTGCCAATTTTACAATTTTCATTTTGTCTTAGATATTGAATGATCTGCCGAAGCCCATCTTTTCACGGTAAGATAACTACTTCAATGTTGATTTAAATTGACCAATACGTCGTGCTTGCAATGTAAAAGATTGTAGATGATACTGAGTTAGCAACTTGCCTCCTTTAAATACAAAAGTACAACAAAATGTGGGGCTATACTATATACCGGAAAACACCGGAAAACACCGGAAAACAACCGGAAAACTGCCGGAAAACACCATGTTATACTGAATACCGGAAAACACCGGAAAAACACTAAATACCGGAAAACACACTAAATACCGGAAACACCCTAAATAGGTAACCCGGAGAAGGGCTATACTATAAACCGGAAACTAACCCTAACCCTAACCCAGGCACACAGAGAACCAGGCACACAGAGGACCAGGCTCCGGGTTACCTATTTAGGGTACCATTCTCCGGGTTACCCATTTAGTGTGTTTTCCGGTATTTAGTGTGTTTTCCGGTATTTAGTGTTTTCCGGTGTTTTCCGGTATTCAGTATAAAATGGTGTTTTCCAGTAGTTTTCCGGTATATAGTATTGCCGCAAAATGTGCTATCAATGAAACAACACCTTATGGATATATAGAGCAAATTGAGGCAGGAGCTTTCCAAGTTAGTCGTTCGAATGGAACCATTCAATCTATACATGTAATATAAAGTAAATGGGTGGTCGAAAGGAACTGGGGTAGGGTAGGCGGATTTCGTCATTTGCAAATTTAAAAACATATCCATCCCGTAGAGTTGTCAAAAAAAAAATTGGACGGACTGACCGATATCGGACGCAGGGAATAACACTATGGATGAATATTGAATGGAAGCATATGAAAATGGGTCTAAATGAGTTATAAAGAGAGACGCGGATCTGTGGGCGTATAAAAATGAATATATTGAAAATTTAATTCAATTTACTTCATTCTGAGCGACGTTATGACTCTTTGACAAATAGTGTAGTCTCGATTTTCATTGGTACCGATGATAAACAAAGTCTCGGTTAACTTATTAAATGGCGATCGCGTTTAAATCCGATCAAAATCACGGCCATCCGATGTCCTAGAGAATTGATTATGGCCTCGTCATAAATGTCTAATCAATGATTTATATAAAATTTTGAGGCCAAAAGAAAGATATGCAATAGGCAGATTAGTTCTTACATAATGCATCTTTAATGTAAAGTCTGTTGTTATTATGTGATTAAGTAAAACCGAGTATATGTGACAATCGTCAAAAAGAATATGATTTTCTGTACGAAATGAATACCAGTATTGTTATTATTTCATTTATCTCGTGCACATAAAATGATATTGGGTTTATCATCCTACTTTTCTGCACCGACTGGGATAATGAAGGCAGGACGTGGAGATACAGATGGCATGGTGTGAAACTAATATAAACTTTAAACGGCTAAACCTGATTGTTTGATTGATTGATTTGAAATATTTGTGGATCAAAATGTGTTTTTTTTATATTAGATGTACGTTATGTGTTTTTTTTTTTTTTTTATAAATGTCCTATATTTAACCATCTATATAAACTAGGTCCTTCTACACGATTGGCTAGTGCAAACTGCTAGGGGAAACATCTTGGGAGAAAGAAACTGGGTGAATGTTTTTAATGCCTTATTGATCAAAATGGAAAAAAAAGAACTATTATATGTATCATTGTGGGATATGATATGATCTTTATGGTACATTAGTCTGTCTTGGTTGCTACACAAGAGAATACTTTGTCACCATGTGTAAACTTTATTGTATGGGTTAGCTATAATAGCTCATCGTCGTCATTCATTTTATTTTGCTTTGTGGGTGGGGGAATTTGATAATGTTCAAATAATGTCCTTCTTATAGATTAGTTAGATTAGCAAAACATTAATTTCTAGCTCTGTACATCTCTAAAAACAAGTGTATAGGGTACAGATGGACAACCGATTTGCTTTTCGAGGGCGGTGGAGGTACTGTGTATAGGTGGGTTTGCTAAAGGGGCGGGGTGACAATGCCTAGAATTGGCGAAATATATGACAATGGTCATTTTGTAGGCAAGTAAAGCATAAGTTTCTAGTACTGTGCTGAATAGGATGTCTTGCTTTGCGGGGAATGTTGATGGCGTGTTGGGGGGGGGGGGGGGGCGGAACTGAAAACGTGGGGTTCGAAATTGGTCTTTACAAATGGTATTCTGCTCTAATTTTCAATATACTTAAATGAACATAAATGTTGTAAGGGTGCTTATTTTCGTTTCGTTTAAAGGGTCATTTATTTCTTATCAAATTTGAAGGCTTATTTGAATTCAAAAGATAATTTTAATGAATCCCTTGATAAGAAAGAATTCAATACAATCGTGTTGTAGAAAAGGTTGTGAAAGATGTTTTTGTCCCCAAAAATACAAGTGGCATCATATACACCCATTTAGAATTGTACATCGCTTTAGGAATCTATAAGATGATCATAATGTATCAAAATTATTACATTTTAGGTCCTTAACCCGCAAGGCTATAAAGTCGTCCAAACGGCAACCTATACACTTATGTAGACATCTACATGTATGTGCGATGCTAAAAATCAATGAATTACTAATCTATAAGAAGATCATCATTGCCCCCTCTTCCCTCTCACACACACAACCCCCATAAAGCAAACCAGTTGTCCAAGGGCATCCTATATATCCATTTTAGATATCCATGGTGATAGAAATGAATGTTTTACTAATCTATAAGATCATCATTAAGACCAATTTCGAACCACGTGGTTTTTGTCCCTAAAAATATATATACTCTTCAAAAAAGTAGGGGATTATCAGAAACAATACAAAATTGCGGAAATGCCCTGCTGTTTTTATTAGAGGTAACCAGTGTATGTTAATAACAGGCCAATTGCCTACACATGAACATAAACAGTTCGTATGGGCGGCTTATCTGACGGCCCCATTTCACTCGCAAAGAGATACACCGTCAAAAGTGAAAATAGACGTTTTTGATTTTTTGGTCTTAATAATGAGTAATTGCTCCACCAATCCTCAGACATTCAGCAATTCGTCGTGGCATGCTCCTAATCAACCGTCCAATCACGATTTGGGGCAATCTGACCCACTCCTCTTGCAGTGCCACGGCCAATTCTTGCAGTGTAGTCGGTTGACGTTGACGTCGACGAACACGTCTCTCGATCAAATTAAACGTAACACACTAAAGCAAAGATACGCTAAACATTAAATCTTATGCAAGAACCGATAGGAAAGCAAACATGGATAGATAAACCAGCACGCGGCTGTTTTCATCAACCCTTCCTTGAAGTGTGAAATTTGACAATGAACCCCTCCCACGTGTATGGCGCTATTGTGTGTCGCATGTGCAGCTCAGTGGTTCTTCATCTGTGAACATATTCTCAAAGCATGTCAAGTGTCCATGACTATTTATCATATCACAACCTGCATAGGTATTTGCATTTCAATATCCCCTACATTTTTTGAACCCCCTCCCGACCTTCACGGTCACCATTGGCATTGCACCCTACCCGCAAAGCGAAAAAGAGGCCATGGGTGCATCATATACCCTTATTTAGTGCAACAAATTGATGTTTTTACTAATTATATTATCATTGATATCAATATTATCACCTTCCCCGTCAATTTTAGGAATTAGCAGGTTAAAATCGTTTAAAGGCTAGTGTTAACGAACAGGGTGTTTTTTCTGACGTATGTCTACCATTTTAAAACTTCAAAATTTCACTTAGTTTATAGTTTAATGAATAGTGAATACTTATTTGACGTAGACTTCACGGTGAAATATTATAAGTCATCTAATTATCACATGGCGTTTTGTGTTCTTATGTAATAATAATGACAGAAACTGTTGAAAATTGGCTTCTTCGTCTCGTGAACTTAATTACTGTGTAGAAACATCAAGTCAATCGGATAATAGTTTCTGTCTATATAGTTGGAGCGTCCACAAGATTTTGCAAATTGATTAATGGCCATAACTCTGACAGTAATTATTAGAAATTGCTTCTTCGTCACATGAGCATAAACACGGTGTATAAATTTCAAGCCATTCGTATAATAACATTAGTATCTTGAACGACCACAAGCAATTGCGCACGACGGACTGACGGGGGTGACAACAATATACGACCACTTTTCTCACAGTATGGGTGTATAAAAATTATAAACGTATATAAAAACATAATTTACGACATTTTAACGTGTTCATGTTTTACTTGTTGCAGTGTTTAATGTATCGATGATTCACGGGCGACCACACGCAATCGTACACGACGGTCTGGTGGGGATGGCGACCATATTCGAACACAAAATGTGGGCGTGTAAAAATTATAAACGAAAATAAATAATTTACTACATTTTACCGCTGCAGTGTTTAATGTATAGACTCTGGGACGACTGACGGAGGTGACGATGTTGGCGTATATAAAACTATAAACGAAAATACAATATGCACGCCACTTTAACATGTTCACGAACGTGTTCACGTTTAAGAGCTGTAGTGTTTAATGTACAGCGAATTAGGCACAATGACCGCAGTCACACGAACTTCTCACAAAACTCAACACCTAATTTTCATTTCACTTATAAATATATAAGAAAACAATGAGTATAAGATGAATTACATGTTATATTTGGTTGGGTGTCGGTTATACACCAATGTAACCTGTACACAGTGACATGCAAGTCTCTTTCTTAAACTAGAAATAAATGCATGCGTTCACATAATTTATAAGATATATATACTTAAAGATGCATTATGTAGGAGTTAAATCTTTCTAATGCAGGGTATTTATTCTGACTTCAAATGTTATATAAATTATCATTTAGACATTTATCCACATGAAAAGCCCATAATCAACTCTCTAGACCATCAAATGAAAGATATATTGAATGGATCAGAACATCTGTGCCATATATGGATAATCGAAACTTTGTTTATTCCGTAGCAATGCTACTTGACACTCGAGACTATTTCTGCCATATCTTGTTAAAACTTCAAACATCCATAACTTCGCTCCGAAAAAAGTAATTTGATTTTCAATATATTCACTTTTCATCATCTATTTTTGATCGATTATAGTAAAATCGGCTAGCTCCTTATCTAGATCTTACATAATGCATCTTTAATGTTACAATGAAGTTTCTTACATGTGACATGAACCGGTATACATAAATATCATATCAACAGATTTCGTCTCCCCTGAAAAAGCAGAATTCGACTAGAAATTCCATTATGAGTAGACTGTACAATAATTAAAGCCGAGCTTTTATATTTGCAAAATCTCACGAATACGGGAAAATTATCACATTTTTGTAACATGGTGGACAGTTACGCAACATTAATGATTTAACGATAAGCACAAAAACGTAACTGTGTGATTGATTCAAATTATCACACTTAGATTGGAGTGTTCAATTTAATACATTAAAACAACACATAAAAAAGAATGCACAAACACAAAAAAGAAGAAAAATAGAAAGACATGTTCAAGACAGTTTTATAGTTTCAACTTCAATATTCGCTTAATCCGTTCCGGTTATCATTTTGTAGAAATAGGAATCATACTTTTTCAGGACAATATGTCTCAATCGTTGATGGTGTATCGTTCATGTCATTTATTGCTGTAAGTTCGTAACCATTGATGGTGATCGCACGAGTTGGAGAAAGACTTAACGAGCGAGTAGATTTTACAATTTTACGGAACACACGCAGTAAAACTTGTCGGAATCTTCTACCAAAAGCTGTGTAAATAAGGAAATTGACAGCCGAATTCAAAACAAATAGTGTATTGCTGACTGCTAACCACTTGAGAAACGTTGGCAGGGTAAAAATATCGAATTGTGCAACTAATCCGGGCGTTTGGCAAAATATGAACACAACAACAATAAGTACTAAAACTAAACTCAGATTGGCTTCATTCTCCTCGTGAATATTGGAGCCAGAACGCCGTTTCTGCATGCGCATTAATTCCTTTAAAATAAACACATTTAGCACAAAGAGAACCGCCAGAGGTATCACATAAATAATAATACAGTACATAATATTACTGTACACTGTTTTATAATAATAAGTTGTTCCGAATGCAGTGTCTGCCAAGGCGAAGCACTCTTGTCCGTGTTCTTTTTCCTCTTCTTTACAATCGCGAACGTGGGTGGCGAACAATCGAGGAATATTATAGCCCACAGAAATCACGCCGATCACAATAATCACAATCAATGCTTTTTGTTTTGTACAAATTCGTGCGGCTCGAAACGGATGGCAAATGGCGATGTATCGCTCCACGCTGACGGCCACGGTAATCCACACGTTAGAAGTCTGAAGCGCCATGATGATGAAGTTCATGGGAGTATGTAAGACGGGATAAACCATTTGTTTATAATAAATAAGTGGCGGTGCTGTAGTGAGGTAATTACTCATGCTGTAAGGTGTAAGTACAATTACCGACATTATTAATATCCCGGTATCCGTTATTACGAGTCCTCGTAGGTAAAAGATGGTCGGTGACTGCATCTCACGTCGCCACAAGACAATAATAGTCAGCACATTTCCTACCAGACCGATGGCAACGACTAGTGGGAGAATGATGCCCCAAAACACAAACTGAACAAAGAAGGCGCTTTGGTTGGCACCTTCTTCATCTTGCATATGGCCCCCACCATATGTGAGGTTAACTTTGAAGTTGATTTCTCCCATGTTCTTGATTCCTGGACGGTGTTAGACCATGCCTTTAAATTTCATCACTTCTACTATTTAACTGAAAAATACAGAAAATTGAAATAAGTTCTTGTTAAAATATAAAAGCCTTATAATAATAAACACTGTAGTCTGGTTGACAGTTTCTGTCTAGCAAATAGACAGCGGAGAACTGTAATGGCGAACTTGTGATAGTAGCATTCAGAAAGCAAAAACATCAATTTATTCACGATTTAATGTATATATTGTCATCTTATATTACAGACAATGATAACGGTAGCTAAAAGGCATATACATACAGTCTAATTAAGTTTAGACTACACTTTCACTCCTTATTTGGACGGTTGGGTGGCTGAATGGTTAAAGCGTGCGCATTTTATCATAAGGTATGTCATTGAGTCAAGTGGCGTGGTGTTATTCCCCGCTTGTACGTGACAACGAGTAAGGTCGCCTGTCCAACCTCGTGGGTTTCCCCCCACTGTTAAAGACCCCTACGGGCAAGCGAATTATTGAAATAAAATTGAACCATATGTTAGTCTCGAAATGACCTAATTTGTGTCAAGTGAACATTGCCCCCCCCCCTCCCCTGTCTCTCGTCTGGTGCGGGATTTTCGATAATGATTGAAATCTTGCACGTAAAACTAATGACGTGACCAGTCGATTGAAACCAGATACTGGAAGATGAGGGGATTAACAAGAGATACAAATTCAACCACATTGATATACTGTGACAATATATTGTGACTATCAAAACGCATCTCCTTACGGTATTGGTGTAAAATGTCAATTATTATATAGTTTCCCACCCTTTCTTTCTAATCGACAGTATTAACCAAAATGTCTGTGCATTTAAATCAATTTGTTTATTTCATTTTAATATGTTGACAAGGATACCATACATAACCAGACAGGTCAAATTATCTTTCTTCGTCTCGACTATTTAATTAATTTTAAATTCTGACTAGAGTTTTATCTCAGTGACAAGTGTTGTTTTGACATGACACCAGTGGCATGATATATTTATGAACGGAGGTCATTATTCTACATTTATTATGTAAGCTAGATGCATTCTCGAAAATAATCGACGCATAAAAATGTAATTTAACAAAAATTCAACTTTTTTATATAGTACACGACTAAAGAAGAACAAATATAATGTAAATCAAATTTGCTCAACTTCTTAAGTTCGAATCTCAGTGTTTCGTCTACTTTGGTCACGACAAAACAGTTAAACCTTAGAGAATGGCCCAAAACGTGTTGACTAAACTGAAGTAAATTGACCCAAGCAAGATGTAAATTAAACTCATGTTGTTAATGAAATGAAACTGAATTATGTTTCATTTTGGCTCACTAACAAGGGGGTCTAGGGTTCCAATTTTAGTGTGGCTTAGTGGGTAAGACGTTGGGTTGCTAACCTGCAGGTCCCGTCTTCGATCCCTCGTTGGCTAAGAAAGTTCATCGGGAATTTTTCGGCGTGGTTCCTTCTTGTCAGTGGTGCAGGACCGAGGGCCTGGCAAGGAACAACGTATAGTCGGTCGAATGGGACGAAAAACCGAGGCCCCGTGTACACATTAGCGAGCATTTTAAAGATCCATTGGAATTCGATACAAGAGTCGGCCGTAGCGCCGCTGTCTGGGCAAAATTTACCTCATAGCGCAGAACACTGGGACGTTAATCCAATAGCGGAAACGCCGCTATCCGAGCACCATTTCTCGCACAGCACACTACATGGCGTACATGCCCGTCTTCATTAACCAGGACGTTTAATTTATTCTATTTTGACTGGCAGGAAACTATCAAAATATAGTCAGTATCACACATCCCAAATCTTAGGTCACTGAAATACCTAAGTCCAGTCAGCATAGTCTGGCGTATGATGAAGTATACAGTTTATATACTGAACTTTCAAAGCTTAGTCATTTACACACAAAGTTCAATCAAACCCAAAACATAGTGAATCCCATACCAAGGTTTAATTAGCCTCTGTCGCACACCAAAATATAGTCTCGCATTTAGGTTTAATCAGTTTTAGTCGCACATCAAAACTTAGTCACGCACTTCGGTTTTATCAGTAGCACACCAAAACTTAGCCAGTCCCATAATAAAGCTAAGACAGTGGCAGACTAAGCCATAGACATTCGCACAAAAAATGCGCATTCAGCCACATAAAACTGGTTAATTCCGCAAAGCTTGTTTTTAAATGAATCACAAACCAAATGTTAGCAGAATAATATACCCATCAAAACTAAATTAATATAGCAAAACTTTGTCATTTCCATCAACATAAAGTAACATCAGCACGCATCTAAAAATCATGCCTACTTCTCTAATCAAAAATTTGTTAAGCCTGTCAATCACATTAACGTCGACTGGATGTATGTTCGTACATGAACTGGGTACGATTGATACATGTATCTCATTCCTGACTAACATAATTAAACATGCACATATTAATTGATGTATTATTATTACCTTAGTATTCATGTACACTATATCCTACAAAATTATACATTAACTATTTTGTAATAATTTCACTCTGTTTTATTCACTTGCCTACACATAATGACACATAAAATACGCCTATAAACATATCGACATAAAACATCTATATTTATATCTACATACGTTCATTGTTAATATTAATCAATACAAAAAATTCATGTCAGCATGTTGTACTGACAAGTTACAGTACCACTCTCACCAATAGAAATAAATATAATTAAGTTTGAATTATACCATATTCAAATATTCTCAGATTCTACTAATTACATGGAATCGATCTAATTACCAACTACGACTAAAAGATTGGGTGCGAGTCTTCATTAAAATGTTTGAAAACCACTAAAAACAGACAATACATGATGTAGATTTTTTAACAACCAAAATCCCCCAAAAGCGCCAACGACGAGTGAGGTATTGGACGAGAGCCTTCAATAAAATGTTTGAAAATCTCAAAAAACACCATTTATATCTCAGCGATAACCAGACAAATTTATGTAAATTTTTGCATACGATCTAATTTGAACATGCATGATGCAAACTATTTAACAACAAAAATCACCCAAAGCGCTAATACCCCTTTAAAGTATATAAAATAATTGTATTTTGTTGACTAGTTATAGGGTAAGTTGTATACGATCCAATTTTTGTTTCGTTTTTACTACTTTTAGTTTCGTTTTTTACTAAATCTGCTTCTCACCTACTGAATATGTCACTTCTTTCCATGAACACCAAGATCAAAGTGCCATCTATCCCAAGTTATTTTATTTAATCGTTTAGATTACTATCTAATAACTCTAATTAATTCATGGATTATTTATTTATGTATTAGTTACACTGTTATATTTTATTTCCAAAGATTAGTTGAATACCGAATGCCCCTTTAACTGTCTACTACAGAAGGTTTGAGAACAATATTGCAGACCAAACGCAAATCAATCAAATGATTATTACGATTGATATTAAAATATATGCCAATCATATTGACAATAATTATATGGAGGCATATTAGACTAACATTTCTTTATTTGTTAGTATCATGCTAACTTCTAATTTATATTTTCTAACGTATAAATTAAGATGATGTGTAATCAAATTTCTTTATTTGTTCACGGCACATACATTTAAAGTAGCTTAGATAATGACTTTTGAGGATAAAGCATTCACAAGTTACTTAAAGTGAGCAAATGTCATAATATTGTAGAAATCATTAACGGGCATTGTTGAGCTTTGATAGGCTTCTTCATGCCACTAATCTGAACACTGTGTATTAAGTTATAAGTTATAACCATCCCTTTTAAACCATCCATAAGATTTAACAAGGTCAATAAGGGTCATGGGATTCTGTTTCATTAAATTTAATAACGTGTATGAATTTAACGCAGATCGGACAAACAACTTTTGTTGTTAGAACGTTCACCATATTTTCCGAAGTGATCAAGGGCCATAACTCTAACAGTAATTAATGAAAATCGTTTCACTAAATATCAAGCTAATCGAGGACAATAGTCATATTTAAAGGAAAGTGTTCAAAATCAATAGGCATCTGGTTTCATTATTTAAAAAAAAATGCATAATGGCGCCTTCGAAAGATTTTACGAAGTGAACGAGGGCTATAACTCTGGAAGTTCTTATTACAAATCACTAAATTTCAACAGGATTCTTCCTGTTAATAATGTTAATATCAGATATGATGATAAATGTAGTCTTTTTATATTGTTTACAATTTTAACACTCCCTCCAAACATTCAGTCAGACGAAGAACTCTGAATGCACGAGTCGCTTATATGAACGTAAGCCCATGTTTGCGATCTGGTGCTCATCCAATAAATTACGCATATTACGTCTCAATAACCCTACATTTGTTCGATGTTCATTTTGATAACAATATAATAAAAATAACATGTAATAAAAATTTGAAGCTCCGTTTACGCTGAACAAATATATAAATTACATTAATAGAATTTAGAAGTTAGTAATATACTTACAAATAAATAATTTTGAATAAATATGTCGCCATATAATTCAACCCATATCATCGATTTCTTGAGATAAAGCATGCACTAAAATTTACATGTAAATTTTGTTCAACAGATTTTATATTTTATATGGTACCAATATGAAAAACATTTTATATTTAGTTCATCTAAAAATTGATAAATTATTGCTGAAATGCAGTGAAATTGAATGACAGTTACAGCTGCTCTGCTTCTCAACATATTTTGCTATTATTATTTACATAATCTACTATACTAAAAATCCATAAACATCTGAAAAGTCTTGAAATGCGATAAACATATAGTTCTGTACTTACACAATAAAATGGAAACGAATCATTGACATTAACAGATGTTACTGATATAACTCAAAATCCTTCATAGAACCTGTCAAAATTTTATAGACTGACACAATTATATTCACGCTGTTAAACCAGCACCATTAAAACGACATTAGTCATTTTGGACAAGCGCACCCTTAAATAAATTAGATATTATGAACATAATTATATAATTATTATTTATATATTCGCTAATCAAGCCATTACTATTGGCTAACGTGTAT